GTAATCTGTGAGGATGGTATTTGGTGACACACCAGGCAAAAATTCTTTTAACTTTTGCAGTAAGCGAATATATGATTTTTTTGTTTTATCTGGTAACAGCACATACACCAATGAAACTGAAATATGTTCTTTTAAGCCATGTAGCGTAAACAGTTGATAAAACAAGTGTGGTACTGTTTGAAATGTTCCAACAGCGTACCAATGTTTGCTTTGAGTTAAGAGCGAAATATTTTTTTTTCGTACTAAAAATCAGTATTCTGTCGTCATTTGGTCCAGAATCGTAAAGCAAAAAGAATTCTTCATTTTGGGTCATTGTGTATTCTGCGGGAAATGCGATATCTCATCGATGAATTGGCAAAGCAGCTTCTGCTTTTCTACGAATGTTATTTACTGTTCGTTTTATGCTAGAAACTTTCGGTAAAGTGGCTGCAGTTGGCTGGCTAAGACCAATACATTCAGTAGAGATAACCCAATGTGGTGTGTCTTGGATAGTCCTTGTCAGCCTCGAATCTAGGGGGAGGGGCAAGCCGGACCCCGTGCCCCGGGCGGCAAATTCAGAGGGCGGCAAATAGTAAAATAATTTTTTTTCATTAATAGGGTTTTGAAATCAATTCATAGATAATTAAAATTTATTTGAATTCTATCTGTGCAAAACAGGTCAAGTGTTTATTGGGCCTTATTACCTGATTAATCCATAATCGTATAAGTTTTCAATTGCCCTAAACGTTGAGTGATTTTAAAATGGTATTTGCTTTAAACATTCCCAAAATTAAATACCTGTTAAGCATATTAGGCACCTTTTGTACTACCTGTCATAATCCATAATTCTTTTAGTAAGAAATCCTTCTAATGACTTTAGAATGATTCTTGCTTTGGGGAAAACAAATATATGATTTATGGAAAGCAGTTAACTACCTGCAATTAGGATAATATATAAAGGAATAAAGCTACAATCTAAATTTATTGTGCTTTTCATTTTTGAAAAAGTTTGTTCTTGACGTTATTGGTACTTTGTGTTTACTGAAAGTGTTTTTATTACCTATATATTTTTGTGGTTGTTAACTGTGTTCACTGTTTCTGTTTTTATTATTATATCTCATATATAAATAGTGAGAAATAAAAAAGGTGAGAAAAAAGAAAAAATTATTTAAATTTATCTGAGTGTATATGTAGTAATAAAAAAATTATAGAAGTATGATATTCTAAAAAACGGATTATTTTGATTTTTTCTTTTAAAGTTATTGGTATTTTAAAAAACTATAAATGACTGATATTTAACACTGTTAAAATGTTACTTTTCAAGGCACATTAAATATCAAATTAAAGAGGAAAAAAATTCATTTTCGTTTATAGATCAAAATAATTCTTTTTTTCCCGCTTTATTGGCAATGGACATTAGTCCTTCAGCCACACAGAAATTAAAAGGTATTACGTTTAAATATTAGATATTAATATTATTTTTACTTACATAATCTACCAATAAATCGTAAACAGATTGATTTCCAGTCGCGATCAACACCTTAACACACGTAGGAAACTGAATACCTGCTTTCATAAGACCATCCCACAGGTCATTATTACAAAAACTCTTACAGCCGAAAAATATATGTGATCGAGATCTGCGACCTCGTTATCAAGAGAACATAGTGGAGAATATGTCAGTCCTATTTTATATAAATGAGACGGAAAGCACCCATGGTTAATTTTCAATCTAGTTATAATTGTGCAGTACTTTTTATTAATTTTGTCATTGAATATATGTGATATTTTATTTGGCAACTCCTTGTAGGATCAAAATAATAAAAAAAATTAAAAATATGAATTGTCATGAAAATTGGTATATGAGGTTGGGTTAGGAAAAACAAGTATTGTACCCCGAATGCAGTTTTGCGGAACGAAACGCGTATCGTTGAATTTTGCAAGGAATGAAGTTTACAAAGTCATTACAATACATATTTTTTACACTGTGTTCAGCATATCAAATTTATGTTTTATAGGTTGAAATTATGAGCACGCCAAGAAAAAAACTATCGGGAGCGAAATATAGAAAACAGGCCAAAGATGGAGTCCTTCAGGGAAAACAGCTTGCGAAGATGTTCAAATAGAGGATAGTTCTTGCACTTTGCATGATTCTGATGATCAAAATTTATCACCTGCATCGTCTAGCCAAACTGCGAGAGTGCAAGAACAATTTGAAAGGATTGAGACAGAATACTATGAATCTGAATTGGATCACTCGGATTCAAATGATTGGTAAACCGAAATTGATTTAACAGACCCGGGCAATTGGCCAAACATTGAACAAATGACCGACCAGCAACGATATTTCTTTACTACTCAAGCTGTGTTATTAGCAGAAAGTCATCCAGAAAACATTGAATTTAAATCAACTGAATGCAATGGTAGACATTTAACATCTGATATGTGGTACAAAATATTGACCAATGACGAAAAGCTTAAAAGATCTTGGCTTGTATATTCTAAAACAAAAAATGCAATTTTTGTGTATGCTGCAAGATTTTTCAGAAATCTTCCTCTTTCGGTACATCTGCATTGTGTACTACAGGATTTATTAATTGGAGAAAAGCTTATGAGAGATTAACCGAGCACGAGGCATCTCAAATGCACAAAGAGCGTATGATTAAGTGGAAAACTCGAGTTCAACAAATTAAATCATGCCAGGGTATTGATCAAGACATTGAGCGAATAATTCAAACCGAAAAAGAAAAATGGAGAAAGATCCTGCATATGGTTATGGATGCTGTATTATATAATAATAATCTTTATACAACAGAAAACAATATAATATAAATTAATTAATATAATTAATTAAATTAAATATAATATAAATTAATTAATTGGAAATAGTACGAATAAAGTAAGAAAGACACCCATTGATGACCTCTAAGATGTTGCGCATGGGCTATTTTTTACAAATTCGGTAACAAGTAAACATATAAACATTATACAAATAAAATAAATAGTAAGTAATATGAATATATAAGTATATAATAAAAATTTATGATAAAAATTAATTGAGTACATAATAAAAATTAGTTTAATTTAACACACATTTAAAATTAAAGGGAACACAAAACAGTAGTAATATTGTATATATGGAAAAATTTTAATACATAAAACATATATACACATGGAAACACAAGTTATTCAGTTTTTTATTATTTATGTTTGATTAGCATATGCAAAAGTTCTCTATCTGATGTTATTAAATAATTTTTGATAATTTTTTTAAGCAAATGTATTGAGTTGATAGTCCGTAAATAAATTTTGTATATATCAGGTAGTGAATTGAAAACTATACTACAAAGGTAATTTAATAGGTATTTATGTTGTATCTCTTTTAAAACATTCATTTTTTTTTGGTATATAATAAGATATTATAAATAAAAATTTGTCTAAAATCCAGTAATTGTGTTTCTTGGAACAATAGATTTGATCGGTAAGTATTTTTTTTATTGTAAATAATTTTAATTATTTTTTTTGTATTATTTCCAGATATATATGCTGGACCCCACGATGTTATACCATATCTTATTCGGGATTATACTAAACTAAAATAAATTATGCGTAGGTGAGTACTATCTATAATTTTTTTCAAATATTTGAATTTATATAAAAATGCTCTCAGAGTATTAACCGTATTATTTATATGGATATCCCATCTTAAGTGACAGTCAATACTACTTATTCCAAGATATTTTATTTGTTCCCTTTTTTTATGTCTTCACTGTTTGTTACATTGTTTATTTGTAATGCGTTATAAGTTGAAAGTGAATTTTTGTAGCTACAAAACAGAACAAAATAAGTTTTTTCATAATTTACTGTAAGCAGTTTGTGTTTAAACCAGTTAATTATATTTTTTATATCATTTTCTGCTATTTCTTTCAATTCGGTCCAGCTGTTTGCCTCATAGAATACAGCTGTATCGTCTGCAAAGCTTACAATTTTTCCTACCGTATTTATTTTAAAGAGATTGTTTAAGTATATTGAGAATAAAAGTGGACCAAGTACAGTCAACAATTTTAACAACCTATATTTAGATCAATAGATTTGATCGATTATTATCCTTTTAACAATGACCATTAATGTCCTATTCGAATAATTTTATATAATTTTAGTTAAGTATTTATAAAAAGACCTTAATGTGTAAAGTACATTAATATCCTGCGTTGGATCAGCCCCTTGACTTTGTTTAGGTATTTATAAAACACCTTCAATTTGTAGTATAAATATAATTGCAAGATCAAATTAATTGTCTTAATTTGTAGTACTATTTCTATATATTTAATTCTCCAATATTTGAAAATATAAAATCTTAAAATTTGATGACATTTGATGTGATAGATTTTAGCATTTTCCAAGGAATCTTTCAGTCGGGGAATTTTCTTGATACCGAATTTTATCGTTAATAAATAAAATAAAAATTATGGGCCCCAAAATTTAGTCTTGAGGAACAACAAGAATATTTTGCACCTGTTCCGATGAAATATGTCTGATTAATTGTAGAATATTTGATCTAATAATAAGGGCAATTCTCCTTATCTCATATACTTGCAATAAAAAGAACTTCTACAGAAAAAGTTTAGTTATGATAATATAGGCCATTGAAATTGTATCTGCTTGCTTTTTATTCTCAGAAACGAAACTCTATTAATTGTTTAGGGTGTTGTAACGAATTTCGTCGATAAGATGAATTAATTTTTTTACCGTAAATTTTTGTATTAATTTCAAAATTACAGCATTTTTTATTAGAGAATAAAGCTACCTTTCAAATGAGGTATCACACACCTCTAATTACTATTTACAAATTTGAAGGTGTAATTCTCATTCAAAGGGTGAAATTTTTACGTTGCAGAGATTTTTTATAAATATGCTACTGAATTTATTCAATTTGGCTGTTACACTGTATATCAATATCCATTGCTTGTTTGATGTTTCTACTAGGACTTTAAAAGTAATAAAACAAAAAATAAACTTACCACCAAAGCAAAGAGACCTACAAAACACACCAAAATTAAACCAGACTTCATATTGAAATTTTTATCGTATTTAAGATATTACTAGAATGATACTTTTTAAATTAAATCCTCTTTTTATATGCAAAAGACTACAGCAGGATGTAATTTTTAAAATCAATTATTTGAATAATGAAATTAAACATAATAAAATTGTGCAATTTTCGCAAAAAAAAATAAATAAATTTTATTTATTTTATCATTCATCGTTCTATATGTTTGGGTCCGTGAAATCTTGGCTAATTTTGAAAATTGTGTGTATTTGCCTACCTATACACATGTAGTTAGGTATACTTTTGGTCAGAGATAATTTTTCTTTTTTCATAGATGTCTGCATTGTAAAAATATGTCCCCTTTGGAATGAAAATGGATCTGTTTCAGCATTTACTTAAAATCCAATGAATACTGGCAAATAATTCTAAATATTATAGGTGTATATTGTTTATCAGGAAAGTATGCAATTATTTTGAAGTGTGACAGCAGTGTAAAACATTTAATTTGTTAAATTAACATTAGACGTAAATACTGATTTTTTCGTAAAACACATGCTGGCTCCTCAGATAAACATACCTACTCTCACAAATCATCCCTACTCAAATTAGCAGCTGTCTCCTTCTTTCTAATACGGCAGCTCCGTCTGAGTAATAATAAACACAATCTGAATGGTTGCAATAAAAAAGGGCTTAATAATTATGAATGAATGGATTAGCCTAGTAGTTTTTCGTTGTTGGCACAAAGACACCGCCGAGGTGCTGACTCGAAAAAAACCCAAACTTTGACGTCAGCTTTCTGGTATATTAATTGATCAGTGAATGTGCCCAGCAGCCTGTACAGCTGATACCCGAACACGGTCAAAACTTTAAAAAGGGCTCCAACTTTTGTTTCAATTAAAAAAATAACATAATAAATGTTTAATGTTGTGTATAGAAGGTGACTTTATTTTGATTTTCCATCTCTCTTCTAACCCATTTCTCTTCACCCCCTATCCTCGTATTCGACATATGGGTTCAAACTCTTTCGTAGAGGCTGCTTCTAAGAAATAAGCGGAATCAAAGGTCTCTGTTTAGAGGAGATCACACTATCCATGGTGTAAAATATTTATCAGAAGAAAGAAATATAATTTTTATTCTAATAACATTGTGCCGTCATTTTTTATAATTAAAAATTAAATCAAGAAGGTTCTGGGTTTCTAATACGTCTCCATTCTTTGGGTTTGAGATATCGTAGGTACCTTAAATAGAGAATAGACTATTATGAAATCTAAAAGAACAATTATTTTATGTAATACGTACAGCATTTTCAAAGAATGTCCAGCATTTGAACACCTTATTTGTCTACCAAACTCTGTATTTTTTTCAGCATAACGCCATTATAGTGTCCAGCAACATAATTTACTGAAACGTAACAAATAAGACAAAAACGTAATCAGGACTTTTCTGTTTTTTTTATTTATCTTTGAGGGACGTAATGGTCATCACACATCTCCAAAGTTCATCAATGTTGTCCAGCATTTGGTCAAAAGAAATATAATAATAATAATAACGGGTCTTTATTTGCACAAAATAATTACATTTTTGTACAGTTAGCATGGGCGAGGTTTTGTGGCTATTCTTACACCTAACCCTAACAAAACATATACATTTAAATAACTATAATATTAAAAGTTTATCAATACAATTTGACATTAGTAGCTCATTATATCTACCAGTTTACATTTGACTAATAAAGAGTTGCCTTTTTAAAGCATTTTTAAAAACAGGTAGAGATCGTGATTTTTTAATATCAGTATGTAAAGTGTTGTACAGAACAACTGCGTTATACGAAAAACTACGATTATAAATAGCACTAGAGTGACGAGGCATTGATAAATTAAAATTGTTTCTTATGTTTACATTGTGCGTAGACGATCTAAAAGTTAATTTGCCCATAAGATATAATGGTGACGCAGTAGAAAGAATTTTAAAAAGAAAAGAAAGGAACATAAATATATATAAATTATTAACAGTTAGCCAGCCAGTTTGGGAGAAGGCTTGGGAAATATGATCGAATTTTCTAAGTCCTTTTGCGAATCTGCAGCATGTATTCTGCATAATTTGCAAACGGTTACGATCAGCAGCTGTTAAACAAGGATAATACACAACAATTCCATATAATATTTTTGAAATTACAAGGCTTTGGCAAAGTTTTAGTTTTATAGATTGGTTCTGTAGGATGTGTTTATTAGAATAAAGCAAGCGAAGACCACTGGATATGGTCAACCTAAATAAAGTAGAATAGATGAACCTCGTCGACAAGATGATTTCTAGTCTATTTTGATAAGACTTGGTACGACATTCATGATTAGTATAAAGTAATAATGGATAAGTAATTGGTTTACTAAATGTTCTGTGCAGGGGCGGCTCGTGGCCAAAATTTTGGGGGTTTACAGTAGCAGAATATAGATCCCGGTACAGATATGGGTAAAAAACTGTCAGTGTTTTAGGAAGGTTTATTATAAACTTTTTAAAACACTGAACGTTTTTTTCATAAATCTGTACCGATACCTATATTCTGTCACTCTGAACCCTCTCCCAGGAGCCGCCACTGGTTCTGTGAATGCTCCTCCACGTAGAGGAAAACGGTATTATAATATTTCATGTAGGAATGACAACAGTTTTGTGCCGAATTGTTTGGCTATTACATACAAAGAATATTTTAAGTTGTTCAGCTCATTATCACCAAGATATGACATCTACTTTGTTAGAGAAATGGTGTAGCGAACAACTGATTCAGAATTTACTACCAAATGTTGTAATAGTATAGGAAAGTCACACTAGTGAAATTACAAAAGAGAAAGTACGAAAAGAGGTAGTTTCGGCGTTTTTAATAAAATGGGTGTATCATATCCACCTACCGCTTTAAAAAAAGGTTTGCCTGTCATAATAAAAGGCTTGAATCTTAAGCCGAGCTATGATGTGGATGAGATAATGGGTCGTATGATTGAACGTTTACGTTATCCGTAACGTACATGTTAGGCCGAGTTTTAACAGTAACAAGGCAAGTTCGTACGATGGAAAACTTTTTCCAATACATTACTGTTATTTTCCGCCTGTTATGTTCTAATTTAACAGGTTTCCATCATACGAACTTGCCTCGTTACTTTTAAAATTCGGCCTAACATGTACGTTACGGAAAACGTAAACGTTAAATCATAGGACCCATTATATCCCACATAGCACACGGACGACTTATGGACGTCTAAAAGACGTCCTTCAGGGACATAAAGGACGTCCCATGGACGCCCTAATGTCCCGTTTTCGTCCATCTTAGGGACGTCTCTGGGACATCCCAAAAGGACGTCGTCATAGGGACCTTTGCGGGACGTCGTAGGGACGTAAATCAGACGTCCGAGGGACGATATTTGACCATAATCCATAAAGGGTAATAACAAAAATTTTAACAATAAAAAAGCTTTATTTAACAACTTTTATCCTAAAAAAACTAGCTAGAGTTAAACGTTTTCAGTTTACAAAAAAAAAACAGGAATGAATTACATTTAACACACAGCGCTGGCAAGATGAAACCTTGGGTCCTACTTATAGCTTGTGTCGACATAACTGAGTATTATAATTTTGTCAAAATTAGTTTTGTTCCAACTTTCCGCCATTAAGGTATTTTCTTTCCGCCAGCGGCTACCGCCAATAAACAACACTTATTCTTACCTCAACTATATAACCTTCTTTTTTCTTCGTTAATCTAACTCACTTATATAAGTTAATTATTGAATGCCGAAAATTGTAGCTGTTGTTGTTCATTTGAAAATAAATGATAGGTTAGGTTTTCTGTCCTCATACTCTTGCAAAAACAAAACGTTGAATTTCAAGTTATCGATTTAAATACCAACGATGCTAGTACATAGAAAGTCCCATAGACGTCCCATTAACGTCCCGGACTCGGACCAAGAACTAAACTCTTTGTCGAAACAGGACCAAAATAGAACGACCAGAGGACGTCCTTCGAAGGACGTCCTAGTATTCACTGTAATCGGAAGTCCAGTGTACGTCCTATTTAGGTCCGGGACCAACCGGACCAACAAGGGACCAAATCAGGACGTCCATGGGACCTCCTGTGCTACCTGGGATGTTTACTAACGTCATATAATTAATTTAGTGCAACGTCGAAAGACATGCCAGAAAGAAAAGTGTTCTCCTACGTTGTTTGAAAGCGTTTTAAATGTTCAGAATAGTTAAAAAGAGAAAAATTGTCTCCGACCGAAAGTATAAATCATTGAAAAATTAACTATATTTTTAATGACAGTTTAAAACCTATTATTATTCTATTCTTTTTGTGAAGGCTATGAGGATTGCTTCAGCTTACAAGAGAATTTCCGGGACATCCCTAAAAGTTGCCATAACTGCCAAAACAAGATTGATAACATGCCTATATGAAAAGTCTGTAGAAGTTAAACTACAATATATACACTTCAGGGGTTGATGCTTACTCAATGGTTACAATCTGAACTTGCCACTTTAAAGCTCTGGGGTTCGAATTCCACCTTTGGCTGGGATTTTTTCTAATTAATTTAAATAATTAAAAATTAATTGTGAGGCATTGATAAGATTCTCCACTTGACCATTCACTGTTTGTTTCTATTTTACGCAGTCATGTGATGTTTCTACAGTGCCGCTGGAAAACAGACGCAATACGAGGATAATGGTCTGAGTTTTCTAGGCTGAAGACAACAATACAAAAAATAGGTATACTATCTAAAAAAAATTACTAAGAGCTGTGGAAATCTGAGGAAGTTGGAAGGATGTAAGAAAATTACAAATTCTGCATACTTGAGATAAAGAGAAAACAACTATTTTCTATTCTTTCAAATTTTCCATTGGAAGGCAAGACTGTTTAATTGAATTTTGTGATATGCGCTAAAGAGATTATAATTATGAATGTATTTTTTAAAAATCTCTCTTATCATTCTAATGCTCTTAATTGAAATAAAATTATTTTGGACAGGTAACCTCGCCAGAATGTAT